GCTACATGAGTCCAATATTCTCAAAATCACCTATGGGTTTCCTTTTTTGAAGAGTGTAAAACCACAAGCCAAAAATGTTGCAACAGTGTTTACTTTGTGGCTTTAATAATCCAACATCGACATCGACATCGACAACAACTGGGTATCTGGACATCCGCACCACAAAACCGCGGCTGCAGCAAAACTTTCACCAGGAGTGCTAATATATTCATCAACTTAATGAAAACGAAGATACACCCAGTCAACTCTCTGACCCACAAGGAACCAGAAACATATTTGTTTACACCGTGGCCTGGACCACCCTTCGGTGTAACCATGCACATGTGCCCGTATGATTGTAATATCACAGCGATTATGGTCAAGAGAATAGAGGTGTGAGAGCATTAATCATTTATACGTCCAGTCCCTAAAAAGACGAAGAAGAAGATCAACAACAACAACAACAACAACAACAACAACAACAACAACAACAACAACAACCGGGTTATTAACACAAAGAAAAGACTAGAAGAAATTAATAGATTACTAGCAACTTGGAGAAAAAGACAGTTGACGCTGATGGGGAAAATTACTGTTATTAAGACATTGGCTCTTTCAAAATTAGTTCATATTTTTAACACTTTACCTAACCCTCCAGATGATTTTCTCACCGCGCTTGAGAGAGTATTTTTTAAATTCATCTGGAATGACAAAAATGACAAAATCAAACGGAGCACTTTAAAAAAAGATTACAAAAGGGGGGGCTACGGATGATTGATATCAAAACCTTTGTTAACGCCATGAAATTATCTACACTCAAACTATACTTAAAAAAACCAAATCCGGATAACCCATGCAATTTTCCTTTTAAGGATATGCTAAAATATGGAGCAAATTTTCAGAATATAGTTGCAGTTGATAATCCTTTTTGGAAAGACGTATTAAAAGCATGGAAATTATATTGTATCAAAAATACCATAAATGCAGAGAACATTAACGAAATTTTAGCCCAACCTTTATGGTTGAATAACAATTTTAAAAACTCAAATCACATCATTAGTCACTGGGCTAAAAGTGGAATCTTGACGGTCAAAGATCTTTGTGATGAACATGGGTTTATATCCTTTGATCAATTGAAGCTTAAATTTGATATAAAAGGTACTCACTTAGATCTTGGATATGTTATATATATTTTACCTGAACCTTGGAAAAAGACTTTAAAGGAATATAGATATATAAACATTAATGACCTCACAATAAATTCACTCCAAAAGGATTTCATATCCCCAAGAAAAGGTTCAAGAATATTTTATGATAAATTGTTATCTGAAAATGTTAAACCTCACATGTGCCAAAAATGGGAAACATTATTTGACTGTATTGATTTTGATTGGCATTTGATTTTTCATACTTGTAGAAAAAATTTAAGAGATGTGAAACTGTTAGATTTTCAATATAAATTTCTGCACGGAATTGTTTATACCAAAAAAGAACTTTTTAGAATGAATCTGGTGGACAATACAATATGTTCTTTGTGTAATGATTCTGTTGAAACTTTATGCCATGTATATTGGGAATGTGATGAAACCAAAACTTTCTGGAAGAAACTTGAACAGTGGATTACGAAACGTATCCAAACACTTAATTTGACAAAATCTTTGATTTGGTTTGGGTTTTTAGGTAAGAACCCATTATTGAACCACATAATCTTATCTGCTAAGAGATATATTTACACTTGCTCTTTGACAAAAAAAATTCCAAAAGTTGATAATTACTTAAGGATATTGAAAGACATATTTACCACTGAATCATTCATCGCCAGAAGAAATAATAATGTTGAAAGCTTTTTAGTCAAATGGTTTCCTCTCATCCCTGAATTTAACCCTGAATGACTATTAAACAAAGAACATATCACTAACATTGATATTCAATGCACTTAGTGTACTATATCGCTATTGAGCCCACTAGCTTGTATGTGCACACATTCCTCTATATGCTTGTACTCATCATGTTTTTGTACTCATCACATTGGGAACAATAAAAACAAAACAAAAACAAAAAAACAAAACAAAAGAAAAACAACAACAACAACAGCAACCACAACAGCAACCACACTAGCAATAGCAACAAACTAAAAGCATAACAAATACCTCAACCCACAAAGAAATGATTTTTTTGTTAATAAAAATACAGAAAACTACTAAAAATCCCAAAGCAAAACAAGGTGGCAGAGTATTCTGACAAGCATTTCCGTAAATAATTCATTATTAATGATGTCTTGTGTTCTTTGCGAATACAACAGCCTATCTCGCCCGGCTGAGCACTTCTGCTGCATGCACCTGTGATGTGAAATGTCGATATGATCAATAACTTAAATACCTGAAAGTTACCAATAAGGTGCCTCGACATTCGATTTTATAAATGTATTTCAGTCCGCAACACTGTGTGTATTTATTCGCTGGCTAAAGTTTTTGGGTACGTACAGTACGTACAGTACGCACAGTCTCGCATCGTTTTGGAGTCTTGACCTTCACCTTATGTTTTGATATCAAACATATCTACACGAGCCGATATCACATGTTACTCACCGGAGTTTGATAAGACGGGTTTCAAACTCCACCCATGTACGATTCGAACCCGAAGTCAACTGACTTCAGCCTCTTACTCTTCAGAAGATGACAGGATACATCATCATCATCACCATCATCATCACATCATCATCATCATCATCATCATCATCATCATCATCATCATCATCATCATCATCATCAGTCTCCTCATCCTCATCCTGTTGGTTCACCAGATAAGAATACAGATCCCCAGCAACCTATACAAGTGGCAACGTACCGGATGGTCAGACTCCCTGACTTGTTGATGCGTGTCAACGTATCCCCTTTGGTGCATCGATGCTCATGATGTCAATCACTGGATGGCCTGTCCCAGATTTTGTAAATACTGCTGTCAGATAGCTGGAATGTTATCTTCCTTCGTACACTGCCCCCTTAATGTGATACGTCGCGTGGTGCTGGGAAAGGGAACGACTATTTGATAGTCAAGTAAAACACTAAGCCTAAAATGTTTAAAAGTCAAAGATCTTGCAATTGTTTCCTTTGTGGATTATAGTTTCTACTTTTGTGAATGACCGAAAGAATAATGATGTTTGCCAGCAATTCGTTGGACAAAACGCATTTTTGTGACTAACAGTTTCTTTGTTTCATGGCATTATTTATTCCTAACATTTTCTAGGAGAATATACATGTAGTTTAAGAAAATATTTCCACTTTTCGGTGTAAACATACACATGTGCCCGTATGATTGTAATATCACCGCATTTATGGTCAAGAGAATAGGGGTGTGAGAGCATTAATCATTTATACATTCAGTCCCTAAGCAGAAGAAGAAGAAGAAGAAGAAGAAGAAGAAGAAGAAGAAGAAGAAGAAGAAGAAGAACCACAACCACCACAGCAATATCAACAAACAAACTAAAAGCAAAATAAATACCTCACTCCCCCAAAGAAATATAAACTAAAAAAATATAAAAATACAAAAAAGTACTAAAAATCCCAAAAAAAACAAACATCTAAAAAAATGACACCAGTCAAGGTGTCTTTCAGAGTATTATGACATTTCCGTAAATAATTCATTGTTAATTATGTCTTGGGTTCTTTGTGAATACAACAGCCTATCTCGCCTGGCTCAGCACTTCAACTGCATGCACCTGTGATGTGAAATGTTGTCGATATGATGAATAATTCAGATTCATTATAAGGTACCACGAAAGTACAGTCGATTTTATAAACTTAGTTCACATAATTCCAATATATTACTCACCAGTGTCTCTGAAAGTTTGATAAGAATCGATTTCAAACTGTACCCATGGAGGATTCGAACTCTGGTCTTTGTCGTGACAGATCGAATGACTTCAACCTCTTACTCTCACTAGAAGATGAGAGGATACATCATCATCATCAGGGGGTAGCCTAGTGGAGAAAGTGTTCGCTCGTCACGCCGAAGACCCGGATTCGATTCCCCATATGGGTACTATGTGTGAAACCCATTTCTGGTGTTCCCCGCCGTGATATTGCTGGGGAGGAAGCGCTTTGAGCATATCCCTGTGACGTGGAAAGGATCTATATAAATGGCCTATTATTATTATTATTATTATCATAATATTGCTAAAAGCGGCGTAAAACTAAACTCACTCACTCATCATCTTCCTGTAGGTGTCCCAGATAAAAAATACAGATCCCCAACATCCTATACCAGGGGCAATTACCGGATTGTCAGACCGGCTGACTTGTTGACGTATCCTATTTCCTTCCATCATGCTCATGATATCAATCACTGGATTGTCTAACCCAGACTCGATTATGTACATACTGCCGTCCTGTAGCTGGAATGTTGCTGTGTGCGTCGTTAAACAAACACTACAGAAGTCGTCAGTCAAAACAGATCAAATTTCTTCTTGAAAAATGCACTTTTATATCCACAGAACTACCGTCAAACGTTTTCCCCTGATGTTGTCCAGTGAAATATGTTATGTTTTGCTTGCTTTTTTCATACTTTTGTATTCACTGTTTACTTATTTATAGTTCAGATATTATTGAATGCATTCCAGGTTGTGTCGGTCCGATACCGCGAAAATCTCAAATTATAGAGAACCGAAACCGCGAAAAAAGATTGCATAATGTTTTGTGCCACAAATTGTTTCTTGTTACCTAGGTATTGCCTGTTTTGCCCTTATCTATTGCCATTTATTGGTCGGAATAAAGGGGTGTCCTCTCTACGTGGTGTTATGTTTTTAGACCCGTGACGTAGACCCGATACCGCGAAAACCTTAGTATCGAATTGTGTGAACACGTGCGGAACCAACTCCGCCTTGGGACCAATTGAAAAACCATACCAGGGAGCGGCATGGTTGACAAGACCCATCATGTAATCTAACTCCACTCAAAGACGTTAAGTAATTCATCAGTTTAAATTGAAGGGTAGAATTTTGTCGCCTCCAGGGACATCGGGATTGCACACAAGTTCGATACTTATTGCTGTTATCTCCCTGTGTACAGTTAAACATACTACGCTGTGAGATGAACTGTGTACAGTTGAAGCTTGTCTTTGTGGAAACATCGTGAGTACAGTTTGTTTTAAAATGAAAACGGTGTATATCTCAAATATATGCAAGTAGCATACGGTTTAATATGAACAAACTTTATGGCTAACAACTTCTTTTATTTCGTGAGTGCGACGTTTCCATACAGATTCTTGTACCGTTACAACGTGTGTCACGGTACAAGAATCTGTATGGAAACGTCGCACTCACGAAATAAAAGAAGTTGTTAGCCATAAAGTTTGTTCATATTGTACTTCTCAACTTCTAAACTGCCATTCAAAGAAGTTAGCATACAGCTTATTGTTTAAATATAGATTCAACAATATTAATGATTTCCATTGCTATGTAAGTTAGCCACTGAATCTGTGAGTCTATGTGTGTGTGTGTGTGCGCGCGCGCGTGCGTGCGTGTGTATGTACGTGTGCGTGAGCTACCCCAAGCTTGGCCATGTTGTGGCGGGTGCGGGGTTGTACCAGGGAGAATAGAAGATTATCCCTGGTTGTACACTCTCCGCCCGAGATCGGCCCGATCCCCAGTGTCAAATTATACCTCAGTTGTTCAACAGTTGAGCACGATCGCTTGTCAGAACGTGTTCCATTGATCTGGCAATAGACCTACTCCGGTGCAATTTCATCGTGCTCAACCTTTACGATAAGTCCTCAGACATGCCAGATTCAACCAGAGGCAGTTTAACAGGATTGTCTTCAGTGACAAGTTCAAATTGCATTTTGCTGGGTACAGAAGTGGCGCAAGAGAATGGAACGTCACGCCCAGCCTTGTGTTCTTAAGGTTGACCAATTTCGAGAGGGTTGCGTAAATGTTTGGGGAGATGTCTGTGCCTTCTTTGTACGACCTCTGTACGACTTGCGCAAATCATTCTGCCTTCTTCGAGCGTTCAGAGGCGTCCTAAATAGTTTTAGAAGGCAAAGAGAAGGAGAACGATAGCCGCCCTGTGTTAAAAGGGTATAAGGTTGACCGATTTCGAGAGTTCAGTGGAAAGGTTTGGGGAGAATTATGTGCCAACGGTCGATCTCAACCGACTGTCGTCCAGGGGAATCTTGTTTCCATCAGGTTTAGGTCTGGGTAACGTGAAGGCCAGTCCATGACATCAACACCGTTGTCAATAAAAAGTTGCTCGTCAGAACCGCAGTAGAGGACGTAGATGATCATGGTGAAATGTCGGTCCAGTGCCATGTAGCAGTACGAATGACAGAAGGACTGTGGTAAAAACCTGATCCCTATACGCCATGGCAGTCATAGATTGTTAAATACGTTAACCTTATATCTGTCAGTCTGACTGCTCCGATGCGAGAGATTAAAAGACGTTATTGGCGGACTATCCTTAGTGTGTCACAGAGACCCTGGAACGAATACACCCAATACAGTCCATGCAAGAATATGTGGCAAGTCTTGATTACTTCAGTTTTGAAAAAGAAGAAATTATCTTTATGAATATAATCTATCGGGCAAAAGAAAGTTATCACTGTTAAAGTAACTGTCAAAAAAAACCAACCCAAAACGCTTGTATAGGTTTAAACCCAAGCAGAAAACATTCGCTGAAACAAACGTCGGTTCAGTCTGTTCAGTCTGGCAGAGTACGAGTTTTTCGACGTAGATGAGAGCGACTGGCGCCAAACTGCGTTCAAAACGTTCAACCGTTCGACGGAGAAGGCGTCATGGTATGAGGCGGCATTTGTGGCCAGAGAACAAGCAAAACATTTACAAATGCAGTAGGACTAAGACTAAACCATGTTTTAATCATGTAAAGAGAGAGATACTTCACTACTATGAGGCAACAAAAATAACATATTTCCAGAAATGTCAAAATTCAAAGTTTTTTGCCAGTTTTGGTCATCGTTTCATACTCTCTTTGCAGAAATTTAAACCCAGCCTTCTAATTTGGCAGCAAAACAGAATGTCTATTATAACATAGCATTTATTGTTTGTAACAGGTTAGTAGTTTGTATTACAGATAACATTATGCACATGTTCTTTCTATCTTACCATTGTATTTTATACTGTATGTGTACATCTGTATGATTCTGCAGTGAAACGCAAATGCTGAATTTAAATTGCAAGATAATTTTCTTTCAAATGCCTATCAAACAAGCGATCCTCTATTTGGTACATGGCAATTCTACCTTTCCATGGTACTTTAGACAGTATTTCTGCAGTGAACTTAAACTGTACATGATATTTCTTGAAAATATAGATTGCCATATAAGACTCTTTGCTGATGACACTTCACTTTATGTTATAATAGAAGATCCCACCGATGATGCTATGCGCCTCAATAAAGATTTAGAAAGGATTTCTCAATGGGCAGTGCGGTGGCAAGTTAAATTCAGTCCTTCTAAGACTGAAAGTATACAGTTTAGTAAAAGACGTTCCATAGTGAATAGTCCGAGATTATTTATGCAAAATATTCCTATAAACGAAGTTTCCGAGCAAAAACATCTAGGTCTCTGGTTTCAAAAAGACGCAAATTGGATTGCACAGATAAATTCTCTGTTTGATAAAGTTTCACCAATGATAAATTGTTTAAAGAGTTACAAATATCGATTATCAAGAAAAACACTATATGTTATGTATAAATCCTTTATTCTGCCATTATTTGATTATTGTAGTTGTATATGGGATAACTGTACAGTTAGCCAGGGCATCAATGCTTGAACAATTGCAGCTTGATGCACTAAGAACAATATGTGGGGCTACAAGGGGAACAAGTCATAATAAAGTATATTCAGAAACTGATCTTTTACCTCTAGCAGAAAGAAGGCGCATTCAGAAACTGACCCTATTCCATAAAATGATACATAACAAAACACCAGATTACTTAAACAGTCTCGTGCCAGAATCTGTCTCTGTTGCAAACCCATATAACTTAAGAAACTCTTCAAATTTGCAGAAAATCCCTATAAGAACTACTTCATATGCTAAATCATTTTTGCCCAGTACTATTGAACTTTGGAATTCTTTATCTGAAGAACTCAGACTTATACAGTCACCAAGTGAATTTAAAAACAAGATTACACTATATTGTAATACTTCATTCGGATTTGATATCAACATTGGAAACAGGTTCTGTCAAATAATCCACTGTAGACTCCGATTAGAATGCAGCGATTTAAATGCCCATAAAGTAAGTAGATTTATATCCGATAACCCATCATGTATTTGTGGTGCCGCCTTCGAGGACACCCTTCATTATCTTTTCATATGTCCCAATTATGATGCCATAAGAAACGATTTATTTTATTTCAAACATGGATATAACATAAATGACGTTTTGTATGGTAACTTAGAATTACCTACATCTATAAATCATGATATTATCAAATCTGTACATACCTTTATTACCAGTTCAAAAAGATTTAATCTGTCTTAAGTTTTCATCTGTCCCTTTGCAGAACTAAAAGTATTTGTGGCTGTGTGGATGTTCATATTCATGTATATTGTATGCTTATTGTTATTTATGACACCATGTATTTTTGTAATATTGTTATGAAATGTAAAGTCGCATAAATGTTGTTTGTTTAAACTGGAGAGGCATTAATATAAGCGTGTTTCTGTAATAATTCTTGTTTGCCGATGCACGTTTCGGTATGAACAATGTATCAGCAAATAAATATGTTTAAACCATTTGTATGCAGAAGGGATGAGATATCCCTGGTCTCTGTTGATTGAGGGCTTTTGTCTCCGGATTTGAACTGCTTCTGCAAGTTTTCTTTTGGTGAAGTCCTGATGGTTTTTCGATAATATCTCTACTTTGTCCCAAATTATGTTGTAATAAGTCTGCAGTGAAAAGTAAATGCTGAACTTAAACTGTACATGATATTTTTTTCAAACGCTTATGGAACAAACGATCCTGTATTTGTAACATGGAAATGGGAAATAAAAGAAAAAAGCAAATACTCCAGTTATTACGAAAACCCATAATGAGATTATGAAGATTCTCTAACATTGTATTATAAGAGTAAAGTATAATTATTATTTTACCAGATGGAGCTCCTGTGTGCAGCTATCGGTTACCTAGAGTAAAGTATAATTATTATTTTACCAGATGGAGCTCCTGTGTGCAGCTATCGGATACCTGGAGTAAAGTATAATTATTATTTTACCAGATGGAGCTCCTGTGTGCAGCTATCGGTTGCCTGGAGTAAATCATGGTTGTTTGTATCGGATACAGCTTATTTTACGCACCCTGGTTGTTTGTATTAGCACCTGTAGTAAGTACCGGCGTTGGATTCATATTTGGTTGGACTTAACTCATGTAAATCAGTGGTTATCGAGCAGAAGGTAGGACAATCCCTGAACTAGAGTAGAACATAACCTGAACATAACCTGACAATATGGCTGCCACAAGCAGGAGTGAGTTTTGTTTTACGCCGTTTTTAGCAATATCCCAGCAATATCACGTCGGGAACCACAAGTGGGTTTCACACATTGTTACCATGTAGGGAATCGAACCCGGGCCCCGGCGTGACGAGCGAACACTTTAAGCGCTAGGCTACCCCACCACCCCGTCACCGTAGCCAAGTGTATTACTTCAACACAGAACTATGTTTCAGATGGTTCAGCGTTTCTTTCCTTAAAAGAAAGAGAGAGTCTTTGTTTCTTAACAACTCAGTTGTCAAATCGACGATCATCAAAGCCGTCAATTTATTGATTCTTTCAAAAGAATTCTTAACTGTATTTTTCTTCTTTTTTCTTTGCAATAGTAAGCGACATGCGAGTTTAAAATATCCTGAGAAATAAACAAATGTGAGCAGCCATACACGAATTGTATTCGTAATCTCATGAGAACAGTCCAGCATTCAGAGTGTATTGTAAGGACAGTGATCAGGTGTCATGTATATGCTTGTTGTTTAATGACACACTCAGTATTATACCAACTGCCGCATTGCCTATATTATAGGGCGGTGGGGTAGCCTAGTGGTTAAAGCGTTGGCTCGTCACGCCGAAGACCCGGGTTCGAATCCCCACATGGGTACATTGTGTGAAGCCCATTTCTGGTGTCCCCCGCCGTGATGTTGCTGGAATATTGCTAAAAGCGGCGTAAAATCAAACTCAGTTAGTCAGTCCTATATTAGACGCTGAGTCGACCTGTAATCGATCAGTGACTACACCAAGTAGGACCATACATTTAAAACACGAATTTAATTAATTAATTTGTCCATCTATATTGCACTAAATTCACACCGACAGCATGCTCACAGCGCAAACAGGATAGAATTTAAGAGTCACTTGTAAAACACAGAGAAAAGGTATGTCTTTAGATTTGCTTTTTAAACGTGTGACTGATGTGCAACATTCCATCTACCGCCCTTCCATTATTAGAGGGGCGGTGGGGTAGCCTAGTGGTTAAAGCGTTGGCTCGTCACGCCGAAGACCCGGGTTCGAATCCTTACATGGGTACAATGTGTGAAGCCCATTTCTGGTGTCCCCCGCGGTGATGTTGCTGGAATATTGCTAAATGCGGCGTAAAACCAAACTCAGTCAGTCAGTCCATTATTAGACGCCGGGTCGGCGTACATTCAAACCTCGGTGCACTTTCCTTACACCCACGAATCATGGTTCCACAAGGGTATGACCCTCTGTTTACCAGACCATGCTTAGAGGCTGAGGTCAGATATAGGTGTCTCGGGATGATACTGGGCAAAATATGGAAAACAGAAGGTCATGATATTTTCATCACTTAATTGAAAACTGTTATAATGATAAAGGTCTTGCCATGAACAGTTTTCCCGTCTATTTTCATAAGACAACCTTTTTACATTTTCAGCAGCCATCCGTACTGTTTTCCATACAGCTCCTTTCTTTTCACCTTAGAGCAGAGAAGTAGGAATGAAGCGCTCAGATGTATTGTCTTTACAGGTGTCCTCCGGATCGCCAGAGTTTCCCCGTTTTGTATCGAGAACTAATTAGTTAATGAGCATGGGTAATAGGTATGTCACGCCTGAATAATTGTTTGAGACGAGGTGACCTGGGTATGGTAGAGTTCATAAATTTTGTTCAGAGGGGGACAATTAGTGTACCAAAGGCACTGAGAACAATGGGGAGTCTGACGACAGTGTACTTGGGATGCAAGCGACACATTTCAAAGGGGAGGTCCGCATATTTAGCATGCTTTTCCTGAATCTTGCCAATCACATTGCTGTCAAAAGGAACAGAAAATTCAATGATATTTAAATTCATTGGCTTATAAAAAAGGACAAGATCAAACTTGCTTCACTAAGGGCTTTAGCATTGCGGGGAGAGCTTGGCAGTAGGAAAAATAATGTGGTTCAGATACTGCGAGACAGGCTATGGTTCACGCTGACGTCCACGCTGCTGGACTTGTCTATGACTGGACCACAATGAAGTAAAATCAAACCACGCATAGGTGTATTTTCACGAATTTAATCTGCTATCTTTAAAGTGAGGTAACACATGTTATTCTGGATCAATTTCACAGTATTAAAGGTTAAATGTTTGTTGACATGAAAAATATTTGAAATTTCATAAATCAATATCACATATGCGTTTCTTTTTTGAGAGTGTATATTTCACAATGTGGGAAACATATCCGCCGTATGGTTTATTGATCTTTATTCGGTATAAATACATGTATACTTCAACAGGATGAATTTTACAGTGGTTTATTATCGCCACTTGCGAGGTTGTTTTCGTCTTCAGTTCAGTTGTTTCTGTGTAATAAAACATATCAGTCTGACCCCGGGTCTCTTAAAGACATCGACTAGAACCCTTGGTTCCAAAGAGGCATCTACTCCACAGCAGGGCTACATAAACCCATTTGGGGTATCTCCTAACGCCACACTCAGTAATATTCCAGCTATATGGTGGCGGTCTGTAAAAAATCCAGCATGGACCAGACAATCCAGTGATCAACAGCATGAGCATCGATCTACACAATTGCGATATGATGGCATGTGTCAACCAAGTCAGCGAGTCTGACCACCCGATCCCGTTAGTCGCCTTTTACGGTACCAAACAAGCAGGTTCAGGCTCATAACGCCGATCTTTCGACCAAACTTCACGGTTGAGTGGAAAAAAAATGGTTCAGGCTCAAAACGCCGTATCTATTCAGACGTAAATGCCACCCTTCCAGGTGGTTGTTGCTTCTTATCCCATCCGAGTTGTGGTGGTTCCATATCGTTCCACTGCGATATGTTTCCTTGTGCGACGAGTTCACCTTATCAAAACATCTAGAGTAGATTATCCGCAACCCTAATTACGCCTAATCAGAACCTAACCTTCAAAGGAAACCGCAGGTCGGCGTCCTGAGACTAGTGGAAAATCGAAAGGTCGGCGTCCTGAGACGACACCAACAAGCAAATACACAGTAACATTGCTGTTTTTCAGAAACTTGTTGAGGATTTAGAACTAACACATAGTGTAGTCAATGAGCTTTCTTTCATGCTTCTTTACACTGTCGTTCAGTCCATAGAGCTCGTATGTATTGACCACAATTTTTGAAAAAAATTAGGGTCTGCATTCTCGGGATTCGAACCCAAGAGAAACATGCCCTGGCTGAGCTGAATACTACCAAAATAATTGTGGAACTCTAGTCTCTCAAATAAAATCATTATAAAATTGTTTTTCGTTATTTATGTTTTAAGAATATTTTCATTTCAGAAACTGAGAAAGTGTCAATTGTAGACTAATTTGCCGATATTGTGTTTTGGGGATCTGTATGAGAGAGAGTTTCGACTTAGAACCTGTTTGTACTCGTACCCCTTGTGTGATACTACATCCCCATTGCCTGCCGCTTGCAGGCACACACGCAGCCAGCTATACAGCTCGGTTATTCACGTACAGTTCGACCGCCGTATCATGGAACACAGCCTACGCTACCTGCTCCCTCACCAGGGGTCACCTCATCACGGTCGACAACAACGTCACCATCAACGTACTCAAGTATATCCGTGCTCAACCGGAGGCCGCAGCTGTGTAAGTCGTCTTGAAATACACGTTATAAATAGATGGGATAGAGGTGTATTATTCAATAATGAGTGAGTGAGTGAGTGAGTGAGTATGGTTTTACTCTGCCTTTAGCAATATTCCAGCAATATCACGGCGGGGGACACCAGAAATTGGCACTTTGTACTCATGTGGGGAATCGAACACGGGTCTTTGACGTGACGAATGTTTCCTTCGGCAGATATGAAATTTAGAATGCGTTGAAGTCAGTATCAATTTTATTTTCATGTTTGCAAATACATGTAAGTACAGGTTGAATATGAGAAGGAACGATTGTCCATGCACCTAAGTCTCTATTATACTTTCCTGGGGCAGGTCAAACGACATCTGGATAGGTTTGTACAACGCTGCACCGACGTCGGACGTCCCTGTGTACATATGGGCTGAATGCAAACACCTCGACGACAGCAACACCGTGTGGTTTCCCGGGGAGCCCAACTTTGTTCAGACTGACCGCTGCATAATTACCTCCCCTGAATACGAGTGGAAGACGAGGAATTGTAGTGAAAAACACGCCTTCTTCTGTGAAACCGTCCTCAACGGTAATTACACCACATTAGCTGCAATCAGTGTGCGAATTAGTTTCCAAATAGTGCTAGCCAGTCGGGCTAGCAATGCCTGAGAAAATAATGCCCACAAAATAATTCACTAGCCCGAAATTTGCAATTGATTACAAAAATAGATGAGAATAAGATATTGTCGGCATGACACGGTTTCATCATTAAGCTGCTAATATGATGAACATTTTTATCAGGCCATAATCTTGCATGATTTGAAAGTCTGAGAGAGTGTTATATTTACAAAATGACCCCATGAAAAGTCACTGTGTAGGGGGCGGTGGGGTAGCCTAGTGGTCAAAGCGTTCGCACATCACGCCGGAGACCCGGGTTCGATTCCCCACAGTGGTTCAATGTTTGAAGCCCATTTCTGGTGTCCCCGCCGTGATATTGCTGGAATATTGCTAAAATGCGGCGTAAAACTAAACTCACTCACTCACTCACTGTCACTGTGTAGATTTACTAGCCCGACTGGATTTGTACTGGCCACGGGCTAGCGGGCCAGTGGCTATTTCGCACACTGGCTGCAATTGCTGTCACACACAACCACCTCCATCATAAATCTGTATTTCATATAATAAAGGTACGCTATGTTCTATGTAGGCTGTTTACTTTAATCCCCAAACATCTGAAATGGTATCTGGATCTATTTCAAAGTACAAGAAACCATGATGATCTTCTGTCGCCCACTTGCACAAAGCGATCTTAGCTCTACGACGATTGTAACTATCATACAACATTGGCTTAAGATAGTCGTAATGCTAAGATCGCTACAGGCAAGTGGTTCCTGGTCATACCCTTGCAGAGTAATGACAAATGTGTACAGGACCTCCAGCAAATTAGTCACTACACTATATAATATACTGTATGATACATGCAGATATAAGTAAAGAGTGTTTACTTATAACTTCACTATGTTCATTCTACCGTTGATAATGGTAATATCCTTTACATGCATGTGTAAAGAGTGTTCATATTGCTAATCCATTTGGACATATATTATATATATATATTATTTGTTTCGTTGTGTTATCATGTAGCGATTTGTATATTATATGCTCTTATCCTTAATTCTCAGTTTAATAGAAATAGCAGAAGCAATCTAAATTAGAGATCACAGTCATCAATATTTTAGTAACTACTGTGCATTAACTGTCAACGGCAAGGGAGTTAACTGACTGTAAGTCTCCAGTAATCTCCATTCCCCTGGCAAGCAATCGACTGAAGTCATTCCAAGGAATCACGGGTATTTTAGTAATAGTGTGGCATCAGCTTAAAATCAAGGCAGCGTAATGCCTTGTAGCTTCTTGCCACACCTATTGCCAAACACTCATGCTTCCCTTGAATGACTTCAGGCGACTGCTTGCCAAAGGCAAGGGGCATTATGTATACAGTCAGTTAACATGAATTATACAACGGTTTTAATCAGGGCCGTAGGTAACTTTTCTTAATAGGGAGGGCACTATCCACATTGAAAGATTGTTAGATCAATACTTTGATGTACAAAAAATAATCTGTAAAAAGATTCTAGGGCTGCCTACGGCCCTGTTAATGAACTCAAATGGGCCGTTAAGTTCGCTCCATATATCATCATATTTTCATCCGAATCGATTCATGATACATAATTTGGCTTGATTTCTTATGATTTAAATAATCTCTGTTCTGTGAACAGTTGACTGTACCTTCGAAAAGCAAACTGGACAAAAATGTGAAATGGGTGGAGTGCTCTTGTCAGAGAAGATGTCGGAAGACGCATGCGCAACTCGTTGTCAAGAGGACATGGATGGAAGTGACGTCTGTTGGGCGTATGAATACAACCTCAGCTTAACACAGTGCAAACTTTTGTTTGGGTCTGATCCTTATATATGTGAGACACTACAGGAAAGCAAGGGTTTTACCACAGGCAGAAGACGATGCTTCAAATGTAGGTTTTTGACGTATTCTTCCAATGCAAATATTAATGCAAACCTGTAAAGAGGCGGATTACCTTTCACTGACGTTTCCTTGCCCTGGCGTTTCCTTCCATGACGTTACATTGCACTGATGTTTCCTTCCATTGACGTTACATTGCACTGATGTTTCCTTCCATTGACGTTACATTGCACTGATGTTTCCTTCTCTTGACGTTTCCTTCACATGACGTGATGTTTCTTTAACTGACGTTTATTCAATTAATGTTCCCCCGCGCGCTTCTTTCCACGTTTCCTCCCCTGACGTTGTCTTAAACTGACGACTCCTTCCATTAACGTTTCATTCGCGTGACGCTCCCTCTCTCTGACATTTCATTGACGTTTCTGCCACTTCAGTTTCAGACATTACCGGATCCGAAGTAGCAAGCCCTGTTGATTTATATCCTGGTTGCAGCACAACAGAGGTGACGACTTCAACTGAAACACCATCTACATCCGTGGAAGCTACAACATACACATCGGCAACGACATCAACAACGCAAACCAGGAGAGTTATGATATCTACACTCGAAACAACAGCAACAACAACAACCACAATACCAGCAACAACATCTGCAGTTACAACATCAACAACGCCAAGCACGACAGTTATGATATCTTCACTCGAAGCAACAACAACAACAACAACAACCCACATACCAGCAACAACATCTGCAGTAACAACGATATCAACATCGCCAAGCACGACAGTTATGATATCTTCACACGAAGCAACAACAACAACAACAACCACAATACCAACAGCAACATCTGCAGTTACAACATTAAATCCAACATCAATGCCAGAAACAACAGCAGATACAACTGTGGCACCCATTAAGTCCGAAACATCAGCAACATCAATAGCTACAACGCAAGATGCAAAGACAACGGCAGAAACGACTCTGGAAACAGCATCTACAGCATCAGACAGCGCCGTTACAACCTCAGTTACCCCTACCGTTACCACAACAACTGCTTCATCTCCGATGGCTGAGGTTACAACTACTATCACGGCTAAAAGAGACACTGACACTCCAACATCTATCCCCGGTTTTTCAACGACTGCACCTTCAAACAATGCCACAGGGACATCCTACTCGCCCACTCTCGACACTTTTCTGTCTCGACTTGAAGCTGTTCAAACCAGTTCCACATCTGCCTCTACCCCGACAGTTATCTCCCCTGGTAGGTATGTCTACGAGGTGTGTGTGGCGGTGCAGACGTTCACCGTTGATGAAAGAAAGAAGCGAACAGACGACATTGTTACTGACCTGACCCTGGACAAGAAGAACCTCTCCTCGTATCGGAGGAAGAAGTCCAGTGCTGAAGATGAGCGTCCGTCTGCCCAGAGCGTGGGAGGAGGAGTAGCCATCATGCTGCTCGTTACGGCAGCTCTCATCATCATCCTGCCTGACTGCTCCAGCATCTTGATGCACGTGTTGCGCGTCCACAAGAAGAAGCAACTTGCGCCTGCACAGCAGTAGCTGTTGATTAGACAACCTTGCAACTAAAACAAAAACTGGGACACTGGCTGCTCACTTCAGTCTCCGCAGGATAATTTTCATTGCTAAAAACTTGGGGCTTTAGGGATATGATAGACAAAATATAATGAAAAGAAGCCCTGATAATTTCTTCATCTAGACCTGCCACATATTCGCGAATTTCACGTTCATATGGACGACACACGGGTTTAAATCTTTGTGGTCAAGACTCTGTGTTAACTTCAAGTAGATTCCAAATGTTGAACCTCTGCGTGTGAGATGTTGGATAATCGAAGTATCTTGTCTGTTTAATGACAGATCAGTTATTTTTGTGTGCGAGAGGGTTATGCAAAATTTTCAAAAATAAGGTAGGAGGGGAGGGGGAACCTGTAACAAAATTGACACAGCTCAAATTCTATTTTTCAAATATTTGTTATTCATTTCTTATGAAGGGGCGGTATGCAGACTGCCACATATAGTTTGTGGTGTTTGGGATGATGCGAGGGTCCGACGGTAAATCAAGGTGGATGGTGGGTGAAAGCTAACAACGGTACAGGTCGCTCTCTCCCACCCAATCAGATCTGCTTATTGTAATTGATACTTCTTATTGCCTAATCAGAGTTGGATACTGTGATTAGATACTACTCATTGACCAATCAGAGGTGGTTGCAGTGATAAGATACCACTCATTGACCAATCAGAGGTGGATACAGTGCTTTAATACCTCTCTTTGACCAATCAGAGGTGGTTACAGTGATTGGATACCTCTCTTTGACCAATTGAGGTGGTTATTGTGATTTGATACCTCTCATGGACCGATATATGTAGACTCCGACACATACCAGTTTATACAAGGGGCATGTAGATGCAAATTTGACACCGCTAGCGTTTATATTGACCACAATTATGTTTTTCAAGGTGAGTTTGTTTAGCAAGGGTTCGTGAAACACATTTATATACAGCTGTGCACATAAATGACATGAACAAAAAGGTGAATGATTCTAGAAAGTGGACATCTTGGTGCAATATATCTATAAGATTGTGCAAGATTTAGGCAAGTTAAAAGTTATCAAAATTCACAAAAATGCAAAATTTATTAACATGAATTCATAAGGAAGACAGTTATGTTCAAGCAGACATATTTGATGAAGCATATATTTACAGCTCTCATAAATTTACCATTTATGTGTACGATAATACATTGAATAGACGTGTGTGCACTATACCATGACTTAGATTTCAATGTGTCATGGTACATACTTTATATTTTACTTGTATATACACACATACATCGAAAAAACATGTTAAGCATCCCAGCATTTTTGGATGTTGGGGGAACTCAAATGATAATCTAGTAACCTTGAAATAGTATATGTGCGGCAAAAGGGACAGATATCAAAGAATAAACATTTGGCAATACAAGAACACCAGCATTGACGAGTTCACTGACACGTTCATTGCAATACCGCATGATGTGCAAATGGGGTAATTGTTTTGAAAATTCATACTGCATGAAACTATAGAGCTGACAAGTTTATCAACTAACATTAGATGGGATTCACGTGGTCACGTGGTCCCAATGATGGCGGTATGCTTGAATTCGCTCCGTGTTTGAAGTGATTAAAATACAACACAGAAGTCAAATTTCCAGTTGCAAGTTGTGCATGGTGTTCATAACATACCCATACTCAAGTAGAGCGTCATGGGTATTCCTATTGAGACCTGGAGAGCCAGAATAGGAACATTTTCACCCCGAATGCGAAGGAGCTCGCTACGAAACCCCGTTTTAAGAAGCCCAGGCGGGACACGCTTGTGCCTGAGACTGTTTACACTAACTTTTACACTGTTAGCGTTAGCGGGTGACGTGGAGATGAATCCAGGCCCACCAAAAAAGGTTAATGATGCCCAGATACAGACATGGCTTTCTACAAAAAATGTTGCAGGTGACGTAGTAACAGATATATCCCAAGATGCTACTACCCTTTGCGACCTCGCTAAAACGCTGACAATCATTCAGGAACAAATTACCTCCCTTAACCGGAAGTTTGAGATGTTTACATCGGACTACAACAACAAACTCGCATCGCTGGAAGGTGAGAATGAAACACTCAAATCACAGATCCAGATGATGGATCGGAACGTGGACTCTTTGGAAGCTCAATCAAGGCGGAATAACTTGATTATACACGGTTTAAATGATAAAAGAGGTGAAACATGGGAAGAAACCGAAACAAAGGTACGACATTTTTTATCTGAGGAACTTTCATATGAATCGGCAGATGATGTTGGAATCGAAAGAGCACATAGACTACACTCAAAAGCAGGAAATCGGCCAGTGATAATCAAATTTACTTATTTCAAGGACAAGAGTAAAGTTTTTATGGCTGCTAAGAAGTTACTGAAAGGTAATAAGATATATCGAGTGGCTGAAGACTTTACCGAGAGAGTGAGGAATATCCGTCATAAACTATTCCCATTCATGAAGAAGTCAAGAGATGAGGGCTGTGTTTCATTTATGAAGTATGATAAACTGATTATAGATGGTGCAACTTACGTTTATGATGAAGCAAAGGACAACATCAAAAGATTGGACATCAAAGGCATTGGGATTATAGAAGCTCTGAACCTTCCAGCAATACAACTGAATCAACTGGATAGGATTTTGGTCGAGGCCCCAACTATACTGAGCAAAAGGACCTTTCTTATTTTCAGCATTCCCTAACAAATATTTGTACTTGGAATGTGCATGGTCTACTCTCAAAACTAACTTTCCCTGATTTTATAAACTTTTGCAAACAATATGAAATATTTTGTCTCATAGAAACATGGCAGATTGAATCAGTTAACATTAATCTAACGTTTGGTGAATATGTGTGCTTCATCAGTGATCCCATAAAATTGTCAAAATATGGTAGACACTCCGGTGGACTGGTTGTTTGTGTTAAGCGACATTTAGCGACTTACTGTAGAAGAATATATGATCACTGGCAAAACTGTGTGTTTCTTAAGATCGTTGATGAATGTGCCACTGAAGATATCTTCTTTGGATTCTTATATATTCAACCGGAAACATCCTCATTCTACGATGACGCAGAAGAAAATGGAATAGACTTATTAGAAAAAAGGTTATTACATATTTACCACGATTTTAGTGACGCTTCTTTGTTTATACTCAGTGGTGATTTCAATGCAAGAACCAGTAACCAAGTAGATTTCATTATTGATGATAATGCAGATTATCTACCCCTTCCTGATGATTATAAGTCGGATTCCTTCAGTTGGCCCAGAGGTCCATGTGATACACTCGTAAATTCCTATGGAAGCCAGCTTCTAGATCTTTGTAAGCTCTTTAATGTGCAAATAGTTAATGGTCGTACAAAATCTGATTCAACTGGTAAACTCACTTTTATATCCCACACGGGAACAAGTACTGTAGATTACTTCCTTGTTTCAAGTCAACTCTTTCATAAAGTTCTGGATTTAGAAATATGTGACCGCAAAGAATCAGACCACATGCCAGCTGCATGTACAGTAGCGTCAATATTCAGTAATACTCCAATGTCTGAGAACGAGACTAAACTTACACTAGTCACGAGATACCGGTTACCGGAGCCAGCATCATCAAGCTACAAAGAACTTTTGAGATCTCCCAATATCCTGGAAGATTTTCTTACAGTTTTACAGTCAGATATCAATGCAGCTGTTAATAAACTTAATGCTATTCTTATCTCATCTGCCTGTACAGCGGGAGGTTTCTGTGTGTCTACAAGAAGAAATAATAATAATAGACAACCAGCTTGGTTTGACAGGGAATGTGATGAACTTAAACATGATAAATACAGAGAGTTGAACTTATTTCGCAGATATACTTGTAAGAAAAATCTGCAAAAGTATGTGGAAGCTAGAAATAAATTTAAATCAACATGTGCTAAGAAAAAGGAAAATCTAGGAAAACAGTTGTCAGATGACTTGTGCCAGGCTGCTAGATCTGGTGATTGCAAGAAATTTTGGAACATTTGAAAACGCTCATTTCGAAGAAAAAACGAACATTTTCCAATACCCGGAGATGACGGAATTCCTCCTGAATTCTTCAAGTTAGGACACTCATCATTGTTGTGTTTTCTAAATCCATTGTTTAACTCAATATTGAGTACTGGCATATTTCCTGAATCTTGGAATACTGCAATAATTATGCCATTATTTAAATCAGGACCTTCAGCTGATCCCAACAATTATAGGGGTATATCGCTTTTAAATGTATCAGGAAAAATATTCACATCCATCCTAGATAAACGTCTTCGTGCATGGACTGATCTGAATGATATATTAACAGAAGCTCAAGCTGGCTTCAGACCCGGCTATTTCACAGTGGACAATATATTTACTCTGCAAACTCTCTGTTCTAAATACCTCTCAAGACCAAAGGGACGATTTTTCTGTGCCTTTGTTGATTTTAGAAAGGCTTTCGATTATGTAGATCGTTCAAAACTTTTATATATATTGTTAAAATCAGGTTGCCATGGAAAAATGTACAATCTTCTGCATAATATGTATTCATCTGTTAGATCCTGTGTAAAAATTGGAAATTGCAAAACTGATATGTTTTTCACTAGTTCAGGTGTACGGCAAGGATGCATTTTAAGTCCGCTTCTTTTTATTCTTTTCATTAACGAACTTGCCGCAGAAATTCATAATAAATGTAAACATGGTGTTTTTATATCTCCAGATATTGAGGATATTATGATGTTATTATTTGCAGATGATATTAATATGTTCTCTTACACAATCATTGGTCTCCAGCAACAGTTAAATGTTCTTCATGAATTTTGCACGAGATGGGGTTTAAGTGTGAATTTAGAAAAAACAAATGTTATTGTCTTTAGAAATGGCGGTGTTTTAAAAAAGGAAGAAAAATGGTACTATGGAAATGTAAAACTTAATTGTGTTTCATTTTATAAATATCTTGGATTGATATTTTCCTCAAGGTTGAATTGGGCAACAACGTGTAAAAGTTTGGCAACACAAGCATCTAAGGCAGCCTACTCTGTTTATAATTTATTCAAAACTAACTCTTTTATCTCTTTCCAAAATGCTTGTACCATCTTTGATTGTAAAATAATGCCTATTCTTTTATATGGATCAGAAATTTGGGGTATGGCGTATTTTCACTGTATAGAAAAGGTACAAACTACATTTTAAAACAATTTCTAAATCTAGGTAAATTTGCTTCTAATAAGGCTATATATGGAGAAACTGGTAGATGTAATATGTTTGTGTTCAGCAGAATAAGAGCAGTTAAATATTGGTTAAAGTTGGTAAAAATGCATTATTTAAGGTATCCTAAACAGTGTTATCTTTTTTTGAAATTACAAGATGATATTGGTAAAGTTAATTGGGTGTCTAACGTTAGATTATTACTCTTTTCTACTGGATTTTCCTATGTATGGCTTGCCCAAGGGGTTGGCAATGAAGACTGTTTTATATCTCTTTTCAAACAGCGCCTATGTGATATTTTCATTCAAGAGTGGTCTATGTCCATTAGTACTTCTAGATATTTAGAATATTATGCCTCTCATAAGTCTTTGCTAGAACCAGAATTGTATATTTTAAATTTTCATGATAAATCTTTGATAAGAGCTTTATGTAAATTAAGAATTGGTTTTCATGATTTCTGTGTAAATAGGGCACGTAAACATGGTATTTCTACAGAATGTAAAAGTGATTTGATCTGTTCTAATTGTAATACAGGCGCTATAGAGGATGAGTTCCATGTCATGTTTGTATGCACCCAGTTTCTAAGTTTG